TAATGGGGAAAAAATAAGAACCAAGATACATCATGTACAGGTACAAGCACCCAGTGATAAATGTAAATGTACTGTATATCTGAAATGTACCAATAAAAGAATTTAAGCAAAAAAAAGTTCTCTTTATAGAAATATTCTACCTAAAACAGAAAAATGATAGAACAAGAATATTATTTCTAACTTCCATATCAATTAACCTAGACCAGTAATTCTCAATCAGGGACAATTTTGCCCCCCAGGGAACAAGTACAATTGTCTGGAGACATTTTTGATTGTGACAATGGGGCAAGGGAAATACGGCAGCCACAAGACAGAGGATAGACCCTATAATTAAAGAATCATCTGGCCCAAAATATCAACTGTGCCAAGGCTGAGAAACCATGGTCTGGACAATGATAGTCATCAGTTAACATCACAAAAAGACCACCATTGCATATATCCCAGGAGGAGTACTAAAACCACCCATAAATCAAACTTGCCAAAATAATCAAATTTAAATCTGATTAAATAACCATAAATTTACATGAAATACAGAGAACTGAAGAAGGCACTAATTTATATGAGAAGAAGCTCAGTAAAATTCAGATTTTGAGAAACTATAGGCCAAATGGCATGGGTTTCTTTAAAAACAAAAAAAAAAGTAAGGGAAAAAAACAATGGGGAATAGATTTTTAAAATTTTTTAAAGATTGCAATATATCAGAGAATGGAGATGCAAAGAATGGATCTTATTTAGATCTAGATTCAAACAATTTTTGAAAACCAAACATAAAACAATAGGAAAATGTGAACAATTGGATAACTGATATTAAGGAATTGTTGGGGTTTTTAAGGTCTGACAATGATACTGTGGCTTGGTTTTAGAGAAGAATCCTTATCCTTTACAGATAATATACTGAAACATTTACTGATGAAATGCTATAATGTCAGAAATACACACCAATAACTGGCTGGGGGAGAGGGTAAGGATATGGACAAAAACACACTTGCCCCCAAATAGTCACAGGAGAATCACTGGCATCGTAGGTTCATGAAAGCAGCACTTCCACCTACCTTCATGCATGAGAAAAGCGGGCACTGCTTCTCCCTCCACACACCCCAGCTGGGTGATGGCTTCTCCCTTCACCATCTCCTTGACCATCACCTGTTACCTATGACAGTCACCTGTTACCTATGACAGTCACGTACCTTCCACCCACCCAACCTTTCCTCTTGGATTTTTAATCTCAGTTGATGTTACCCAGTATCTAAAGAAGAAATTTAAAACTCATCCTGTTGACTGACTTTGGATAAGATCAATCCCAAAACTTCCCAGGGTACCTCCCATACTAGTTGAATGTTTCCTCCTATCCTTTATTATCCCTATTCTGATTCAGCCCATCCTCGACCGATAGAACCACGGTCACAGCTTCCTTCCTACTCGGTCCCGAAGCTTCTATACAACCACCACATTGACCTTTCTAAAAGCAAGCACCTGGCTCTTCGACTTGAAATTACTATTGCCAACTACAGTGATTCAAACTTCGATAAAGGGTCAGAACCCAGTCTCGATTAAGCTATCTACGACTTACTTAAGGAATTAATTTCTAGTGCTTATAGACTTTACACAACTATAGAAAGCAAATTCTTATAGTTGTAGAGGTTAGCATTAATTTAAGGTGCAGGGTGAGCATGTTTTGCTGAGATAAAATGCCTCTGGAAAAATGAACTGGCTTTGGCCTCTCTCCACTGACCCCAGGAGGACTGTAAATGACTCCCTTCTTCTCCAAACTTGTGGGATACCTTCCCTTGTACGGTGCACCACAGCAGCACCCAGCCTTCTCTTAGCTCGTGTCAATAGGCGTATTAAAATGCCTTTATTCCTTTCTCGGTAGCCCTTGTCAAGTAAATAGTACTGCTTGGTTCCAACTCTCATAAACGTGTGACAAGGACCCACGCGATGTGGGTTGTTTATATTCATTTTCTTCTTAATGTACCACAGAAATAGAAGCACAGTGCTTTAAATTTCTAACAAAGAAAGCACGCTCCCTCAAGCTGCCGCAACTGGCGGGACTCGCAGCTTCCCACTTCCGCCTCCCTCCATTTCACCGCTAGGTGGCAGGAGGGTCAACGACGCCGGAACCGCTCCCCCGAAGCCGCCCTCCGGGAACCAGTGACGTCATCCAATGCTGACGATGATTGGCTATTTCGCCGATGACCGGAGGAGCAGCCAGCAGCAGAACCGGAAGCATCGGGTGCTGGGAATGCCGAGTCCCTAGACTGGGCTTGCGCACTCCGGACCCCTGAGCGGATTTAAAGAGGGCAACTGCAAGCTCCTCCTCCGGCCTGAGGCGGGCAAACCCGACTCCTAAGTGGTGGGGGGCGAAACCTGCGGAGGGGGATCACACAGATAAGGGATGAGGGGAGGAGTCACCTTGGGAGGAGGGGTCACAATGACTAGTGGAGTCACTCAGAGAGCTCGGTGCGTGGGAGGAACACATAGAGGAGGGGATGATGAAGCACCGAGGGGTACTGGTACACTCTGAGGGTGGCAGTGTCATTATAAGGGAAGGTCCCCCAGCAGGGGAGGGGTCTCAGAGAAAAAGCGGTCTTTGAGGGGGCGGGATCTTGCTGAGGGTGGACTCCCGCGGAGGGAGGGGCTTCCCTGCAGGTGGTGGCTTCTCTCTTAAAAGAGTGGATCCTTCGGACAAAGAGGGAGACCCGGGCTGAGTGGTCACCAGGCGGAGGCTCTGGAATCTGAACTTTACTCCGGGGAGGAGGCGCGGAGTGAGGAGGAGTCGGGGCCAAGCCGCTGGGCCGGCCCAGGGCTCCCCGCCGCCCCGGGGCATCACCCCCGTGCGAGAAGGTAGATGGTGTTAGAGTCCGGAGACAGGATGTAGGGGTCGAGGAGACCTAGGCAATGGGCTGCCGGGGCCAGGGCGCAGGTCGGGAAGGGGGACGGGTTGCGGGGCTGCTTCAGACTGCGGCTGGGCCTGACAGGTCTAGTTTTCGGCGCTGCTGATCCGCGGAGCCCAGGAATCAAGCAGCTTCCTGAGCCCGGCCCTGGACGGACAGTGACCCGTGGGAGGAGAGAAAGGACTCCCGGGGCAGCTAAAAGACGTCCGAACCTCGCGAGCGCACACTCAGCCCTTCGTTCCCTTCAGTTCATCACGCCCAGCTCAAATTTGGCCCCGGGACCCCGGGCCACTCACCTGGAGGCGGGCGGCCGAGCGCGGAGCGAGCCCACCTGAGGGGGCGTGGCCGCAGCCTGAAGCCCGGCGCGAAGGAGTTAAGCCGAGGCGGCCCCGCCCCGCCCCAGGCAGGCCGCAGAGCCTGAGCCCCAGCGGTGGAGTCGAGCGGCCGCCGCCCGCCCGCCTCCGCCTGCGGGGAGCCCGCCCGCCGGCGCCCGGGAACGCCGCAGGCACAAGCGCTGCGCAGCAGGGAGCGGCGCGGTGTCCGTCCGGGCCCAGCGAGCCGGAGCTTCGGGGCGGGCCCAGCACCTCGGGCAGGTCCTTCATTCTCAGCGCGGGAGCGGGAGTCCCGGCGCCCCGGATCGGGCTGGGCCCGCGCCCATGGCGAGCGCGGCCTGCCCGGGCCCTGGGGACCCTGCCATGTAAGGCAGCCCCGGGCTGGGGGCCCGGCCATGGCCGGAGAGCGGCCCCCGCTTCGGAGCCCTGGGCCCGGGCCCGGAGAGGCGCCGGGGGAGGGTCCGCCAGGGCCGGGGGGCGCGGGTGGAGGCCCGGGCCGGGGCCGCCCCTCCTCCTACCGGGCTCTCCGCAGCGCCGTGTCCAGCCTGGCGCGAGTGGACGATTTCCACTGCGCCGAGAAGATCGGGGCCGGCTTCTTCTCCGAGGTCTACAAGGTAGGACCTGACGAGAGGGCAGAGGGGCGGGACCGAACCTTCCACCGGAGGCTAGAACTTGGGGGCCCACAGCTGGGATAAAGAACCCGGACTCCGACGACCCGCCCAACCTGTCGGGCACACGCCGGCCCTTGCCCCCCGCCAGGTTCGGCACCGACAGTCAGGGCAAGTCATGGTACTGAAGATGAACAAGCTCCCCAGTAACCGAGGCAACACTCTACGAGAGGTGCAGCTGATGAACCGTCTCAGGCACCCTAACATCCTAAGGTAAGCACCCCCAGCCTCTGGCTGGGCAGCTTGCTCACTAGGAGGGAAAGGGAAACATCCCACTCTCTGAAAAGTGGGAAATGAGGTGGGGCTGACTCTCTTAAGCCTGCCCTCCTGTCTTCCCCATCCTCTTCCAGGTTCATGGGAGTTTGTGTACATCAGGGGCAGCTGCATGCTCTTACAGAGGTGAGGACAGGCCAGGAAGCGGGAATCCACCTCTGCCACCAAGGGGAAAAGGAGGAGGGTGCCCGGTGGGTCTGCAGAGGAATGAGGAGAGGCACAGGACCTTCTCCCAGGGCAGGCTTCCTGAACTTCCCTTTGGGTAAACGACTTTCAAGAGGCCCCGGCTGGTCTCATTCTGTGTATTCCCTACAACAGTGCTGCTCCACTGAACTTTCTACAAGGATGGTAATGTTCAGTATTTGTGCTGTCTGATGCAGTAGCCATTGGCCACACATGGCTATCTTAGAGCGTGGGAAATATGGCTGATGTGACTGAGGAACTGAATGTTTAATTACATTTAAATGTAATAATTTAGATAGCTGCATATGGCTAGTAACTACTGGGCGGCCCTAGAATGTGAATGGGAGACCCTAGATCACAGATCCACCCTCTGATCATTGTGAGGGGGGATACTCTCCTGGGTATCCCTTGGCTAATTAGTGGGAGGCCTACAATACAGACTGAAGCCTTAACATTTATTCCCCTTCTCCTACCCCTTTGTCCCAGTATATGAATGGGGGGACCCTGGAACAGCTGCTCAGCTCTCCAGAGCCTCTGTCCTGGCCAGTCAGGCTCAGGCTGGCTCTGGACATTGCCCGAGGCCTGCGGTACCTGCATGCCAAAGGTGTATTCCACCGAGATCTCACATCCAAGGTAGGAAGGTCAGGTGGGTGGAGACATGAAAGAGAGTTTGAGACTATTTTGTTGTAACTCATCCACCGATGTTGGAATGTGGACAATAATTCTACTAGGATATTGTAATGGCAAGGCCTTGGAGAATACTGGGAGATCTGGGATGAGGAGAGTCCTCCAAAGGACTGAGTATCACATTGGAGTGTTGGATAATGTTGCAGTGTTGGGGTACACTGGACAACTGGAAAAGTGGGCTTCAGTTATGCTACAGTGATGAGTCTTTAGGTTTATATTGGGAGACCAGAGAGCAGATGGTGATGGGTGTGTGAGAATGCCTATTTGTGTGTGTCAGAACTGCCTTGTCCGACGAGAAGACCGAGGCTTCACAGCTGTGGTGGGTGATTTTGGGCTGGCTGAAAAGATTCCCGTGTATAGGTGAGGTGACCCTGTTACCCTAAAGCCTCCTAGAGGTCCCCTATTGAACATTTCCCTTGGGACATTTCGCTTGGGACATTTCCCTTGGGATGGGGAGGGGCCTCACCTCGTTCCTTTTTGCCTGGGGAGGATACCTGAATGGGCTGTTTCTGACGACCCTTCCCCTGCCCCTGCAGGGAAGGGGCAAGTAAGGAGCCATTGGCTGTGGTGGGTTCCCCGTACTGGATGGCTCCAGAGGTGTTACGGGGTGAGCTGTATGATGAGAAGGTAAGACAATCCTTCAGGGCTTCAAGGCTCTCCAGACACCCTTGAGATACTTCTAAGGTTCTATCCCAATGACAAACCTACCAAATATTAGGAACCTTTAGAGCCCCCATACCCCTCACAGTCACCTTTCCGTTACATTGAAACTGACAAGATTACCCCCCCTCCCCCTGCCCCATCCACCCAAATTCTGGCCTATTCCAACAGAATTCTGGAGTGAGAACTGTCAGTTCCTCCCCCTGTCATTATCATCTTCTCCCCTTAGGCTGATGTCTTTGCCTTTGGGATTGTCCTCTGCGAACTCATCGCCCGAGTACCTGCAGATCCTGACTACCTGCCCCGCACTGAGGTGACTGTCTCTAGGTGAAAGAGAAGGAGACTCTAGACTAGGTGGTTCATACCTCAGGAGGGCTTGGGAGGGTGAGGTCCTCATAGGGAATTAGGAGGAGAACCCAAGGAAGGCTGACTTCAGACCCATCCCCTGTCCCCACAGGACTTTGGCCTGGATGTGCCTGCTTTCCAAACCCTGGTGGGGGATGACTGCCCATTGCCTTTCCTGCTCCTGGCTATCCACTGCTGCAGCGTAAGTGCCTCACTGTCCTTCCTGGTCCCCTGCCCCATTTGTGAGCTGGCATGGCTTCCAGGTGATGGGAGGAAAACTCAGGGACCCTCTTTCAGAGGACTGAGTAAAGCTGCCCCTGTCTGCTCATCAGATGGAACCCAGCACCCGAGCCCCCTTCACTGAAATCACCCAGCACCTGGAATGGATCCTGGAGCAGCTGCCTGAGCCAGCCCCCCTCACCAGGACTCCCCTGACACACAATCAGGGTAAGTGAGCATGACCTTGGCCCAGTGGAAGTCCTTTTGCCTCTCTCTTCCTTAGAACTCAAAAGTTATCTGAGGGAGGCTAAGTGGATTTTAGTTGGAAAAGCTGGGAGTCAGCGTGGGGTGGGGTGGGGTGGGAAGACATCTCAGAGAAGATATTTTCTACTGCTAGAGCCTGCTTGAGGGAGTGGAGGAAGGAAAGATGAGGTAAAAGGTGGCTAGAGGTGACTTTCCTCTTTGCAAAGCACCTTGTGGGACTCCTTTTCTGAGTTTTGGTGCCATCAGAATCCTGGAGAGCTATGATCAAAAGCTGAGAACAGTGATCACAGACTTCTCTGCCTACAGGGTCTGTTCCAAGAGGAGGTTCCTCTTCCACGCTTCCCAGGCCAGACCCCCGGCTCTCTCGAAGCCGGTCAGACCTCTTCCTTCCCCCGTCACCAGAATCACCACCCAACTGGGGGGATAATCTGACAAGAGTCAACCCTTTCTCACTACGGGAAGACCTCAGGGGTGGCAAAATCAAGCTCCTGGACACACCCAGCAAGCCAGTCACCCCCCTGCCCCTTGTACCATCATCACCACTATCCTCCACCCAGCTGCCCTTGGTGACCACTCCAGAGACTCTAGTCCATCCTGGGACACCTGCCCGCCGCTGCCGCTCATTACCATCATCCCCTGAGCTTCCCCGACGTATGGAGACTGCACTGCCAGGCCCTGGCCCTCCCCCAGTGGGCCCCTCAGCTGATGAGAAGATGGAGTGTGAGGGCAGCAGCCCAGAACCAGAACCCCCGGGGCCAGCTCCTCAGCTCCCCCTGGCTGTGGCCACAGACAACTTCATCAGCACTTGTTCCTCAGCCTCCCAACCCTGGTCCCCTAGATCAGGACCACCCCTCAACAACAACCTCCCAGCTGTCGTGGTGAACTCTCCCCAGGGCTGGGCTGGGGAGCCCTGGAACCGGGCTCAGCATAGCCTGCCCCGGGCAGCAGCCCTGGAGCGGACAGAACCCTCACCACCCCCTTCAGCCTCCCGGGAGCCTGAAGAGGGGCTGCCCTGCCCTGGCTGCTGCCTTGGTCCCTTCAGCTTTGGCTTCCTGTCCATGTGTCCCCGTCCCACCCCAGCTGTTGCCCGCTACCGCAACCTGAACTGTGAGGCGGGAAGTCTTCTCTGCCACCGAGGGCACCATGCCAAGCCACCCACACCCAGCTTGCAGCTGCCTGGGGCACGCTCTTAGCAATGAGGCCTGTGATCTCAGCCCTCCAACTTTGGCCTTCTGGACACCTTGTGAGGAAAGAGTCCACTTGCCGGACAATGCCAGCCCCAAGTGGGCTGACCAACTCTTCTCCCCATATAGGGGAGCCTCAGCATGGACTTGAGGGACAGAGCACTTCCTATCCAACCCCTGGGCTTGCTGTCCTGTGGGGATCACTGAACCAGACATAGCACTGCTGACATACAAGACTAACACGTGCAGATTATTTAAAAATATTTCAATAAAACTGCCTGGCTGGCTCCGGGCTGCCCCATCTACTCAGCCCATGCACCCTCCTCCCCACCCACTTCCAGTACGGGAGGTTCCTGAGGGAGGCCAGAGTCCCTTCCAGAGACTTCTTCACCCTCTTTCCCAGGAGCACTCCAGGTTCTAAGCAGGCTGCAGGCTGGCTAGAAGTGTCAGGATGGATCAGAATTTGGCTGGGTGCTACCCAGAATGAAGGAAGGCTGGGGACGATGATGTCAGGAGTAATGGGCCACAGGTTAGGGATGAGAGTCACAAGCTCTGTTGGCATGAGTTCTGGAAGAGTAAAGCATCAGTGAGTTCTACAGCTACTGTCACTTAACACTCACCCATCTCACTCTGTCCCCTCCTCCCCAGTTCCCTGGACAGCCTCCCTCCTGTCCTAGGCCTTACCTGTCCCTCTGCCCAACCCACTGGATGCTGTGGCTGTGACTGTCAAGCCAAGAATGAGTTTTCCTTCTGACCTCTGGGTCCCTCTACCACTCAAGCCCTCCTTGTCTCATGCCTCAACCCGTCCCTCACTTACCTAGCTCAGTGCAAAGAGTGGTCCCAGTTTGGAAACTTGAAAGCTGCCAGTTCACAGATGTACCGAAGAGACTCTGTACATTTCTCTGTCTCCCAGGCTGACCATGACCTATGTTTTTGTACCTTGGCACAGTTTAGGGTTTGATAATACCTACAGAATATAAAGCAGAACTGGGATGCTCTCTGGACCCCTCCTAGCTCATCTTCCCTTCTCTCTTACTCTGTATGAAACCTAGCGGGACTCCCAATTCACCCTACCTGCATAAGGCCATGTCTACTCATGGTTGAGAGATCGATTTCTGGACTCCCAACTAGGAAGAGACTTTATGACCAGGGAGGAAAAATCACCCAAGGTCCTAACATGAAAATTTCAGATAGGGAACATGAGGACCTCTTTCAGGGTCCCTAGGGCTGATCTTCCAAATTACTCCACTGCTCCTTTGCTGACTTCCCTGAGAGAGGAGAGGCCTCTAGTGCCCCAAGTGGCCTGACTGAGAAAGTACAACCTCAGTTTGGGTAGCCTTGTCGGGATGAGAAGTTAGTAAGGTCCTAATTAAATTGTTTCTCCGAAGGATGACAGATTCCCAACCCAGTATTTATTTTTTTAAAGCACATGCCAGGGATCTCCAGGTACTGGGGATAAAATAGAAAGATTGCCCTAAAAAGTTATTAATCAAATAGAGGAAACAGGGCCGAGGATTTAGCTCAGTGGTTTCAACGCCTGCTGTGCAAGCGCAAGGACCTGAGTTTGATCCCCGGTACCAAAAAAAAATCGAACAAACAAATAGAGGAAACAAATAGGCAATTGTAACATTGATTTATGGAAGAGTTTTGGGACCAGTGCATGGGGAGAGATTGTATCATTATGTCTTTATGAGAGAGTTGGGTTGAACATACCCAGAAGTGCTCACAAACTTACCAGTATTGTGAATCAGTCAACCAAGTCCCCCGCTGGGCCCTATCAGTGTTGAGGCCAATCCAATATGTATCTGAGCCACCACCTGACAATAATTTACTGAAGCTGCTGGGGAGTAACTGCTGGGGAAGATTCAGAGAGACCAAAGATATGTGGAGAGTGATGAGAAATATGAAGGAAAATGAAAACCCAGGAGGAAGCCTGTGAGTTTTGGCAAGAAGGCTATGCCCATGGTTGGCACGTGACAGCTCATTGGTGACCTTTCCCTGCATCCTTCAAGTGCCACCCTTTAGTTCATCTCCCAAATGGGTAAGAATTTTTGCCATCCCTTGGAGGGGAGTTGTTCTGTACACTGTAGTGGTCCCAAGAAACAAGTCTCTCCCACCAGGGCTGTCACTTGTCTGAAAGACCATGAGAGTCAAAGGACCATTAAGCCCAGAAGGCTGACCAGAAAGCTGAGACAGGCACAAATGAAAGCAGAGATGCTTCAGAAGTTTCAGCTCTCATGCCAACTGTAATCAGTTAGTAGAAGCCACCTGGAGCATGGGGCTGAGAAGATACAGAGAGGCTGTTTCCAAGTTCAGTGGCAAGTAGTGTGATTATCACTATACTATGGAAAAGGAATGGAAGTCGTGGTATGCACGCCAGGTGTGCAGTGCCCTTCCTAGCTTGATGCCATACCTCCCTTTACCTAACTACCCACTTCCATCTGTAGATAAGGGTGTGCTTACTGAATAAGACTGATAAGGTTGAAGGAAGGTGGCCAGCTTGGAGGACAGAGATGTGCAATGGTTTTTGCTCTCCTCCCAAGTCTTCTCAGTAGGTGAGAAGTAAAAGCAGCGCTTCTCATGAAGTGTCCATCCCATCAGACAGCAGGTGTCTACAAAGAAGAAAGAGTGTGACTGCAGCAGCACTTGGGATGAAAGTGACTACTCAACAACCTAGGGCTAACGATATGCCCTTACCTCTGATTGCAACACCTTCTAGTCCTTGATCTTTGCAATCTTTTTTAGTTTGTCTCCCCTAGAAATGCCATACTTGTATATGTTTAGTAAAATCCTTAACATCCAACAACATTACTTCTTAACAATTTGGGAGATTTATTTTAATAGGGCTGGTTTTACTATCCCCAATTTCTGGGTTTTTTGTTTTTGTTTTTGTTTTTGGTACCGGGGATCGAACTCGGGTCCTTGCGCTTGCGAGGCAGGAGGCAGAACCACTGAGCTAAATCCCTAGCCCAATCCCCAATTTCTGAAAGATTACAGTCCACTCCAACAGTTTGGTTAACCTCATCTGTAGGTAACTGGTCACTAGGCCTCTGGGTCATTAATTTATTCATTCATTCATCCCATTGCTCCCTAAAGCATTCCCAACTGCATGTTCAAAACACTTCACCAGCCACTGGCCATGTCCTCTCCCCATGCTTCTATAAGCAGACAACCTTGGTTCCTGTTTTACTAAAAGTGTTTGCACTCTCCATTTCCCTCCTCCACACCTCAAATTTCCTGTCTTTGTTCTTCTTTTCCTGACTATCCCTTAAAAAATGATTGACTTCCTTAACGTCCCACACCCCAATCTGAGCTCCTGACCCCAACCCACCTCTTGCCATGGCTTTGATCCCTCAGCCTTATCTCCATCACTCAAAATCCATTCCCTGTCTACTGGCTCCCTCTCTCCTGTCTTCATTTGCTCATATCCCTACCCAGTTTCCCCTTGACATACTGTCCTGTGGTGACTTAAAGGAATAAAAAGAAACTGGTGTGGCCACTATGAGATATTAAAAATATTAGGGGATAAGCGGCACACTTATCCCCTAATATTATTTTATATTTTGTATTAGGAGAAGGAGAAAGCCAAGTAGGGTTTTACATAGAATTCTGCTCACTAGCTATATACCAAATATGTGATATGTCTGGAACATATAATACGTATTCCATCACTTTAACATAATGAATTTACCAGAATGACATGATCTAGACTGGGACAGCACAATCACATTTGTGCTTAAAGGATCATCCTAGCTCCAATATGAAGAATGGACTGTTTGAACAGGGATGGGTGAGGGAGTTAGGAAAACACTCAGAAAGCTATTGCAGTTGTCTTTGTAAAACATAGGCTGAGCTGGGTGTGGTGGTGCACACCCGTAATCCCAGCACTCTGGAGGCTGAGGCAGGAGGACTGCCACAAATTTGAGGCCAGACTGGGCTACAGAGTGAGTTCAAGACCAGCCTAAGGGGCGGGGATTTAGCTCAGTGGTTCTGCCTCCTGCCTCAAAAGCACAAGGTCCCAAGTTCCATCCCCGGTACAAAAAAAAAAAAAAGACCAGCCTGAACTCACTACCTAGTGAGACCCTG